CTAGTGTGGTGTTTTTCATTTGTTTTGTTCTTAGCTTAAGAAACGAAAGTTTGAAAACATTTTAAAAACGTGCAAGAGTACATAATGCGTTCAGAATGCATATGAAATAGTAAAACAAGCTAAAAAGGAAGAATTTGATAGAATATAATAGGTGGTATTCCAAGATTTAAGCAGGTCATCAAGCTTTCCTACATAACTTGTGTCCATCCACCCTAACGTTTAAGGGTTTACAACTTACCCAAACATAATTAGCTTCACATTTCTAACATTTAATTTTGTAGACACAGCTGTTTCATGTCATCTTAGGAATTGTATCTTTGACTAAGATCTTTTCTAATGAATTTAAAGGTTTAAAACAGACTTTAGTGCCATGCGAAGCACATAATTTTTCAATCTATTCCTACTGAAACATACTTGTGATGGTAGCGTTAGTTAGTTAATTTCAACCTCAGTTTACAGATCATTACATTTTACGATAATTCATATGATTAATTTATACAAACAACTTTGAAGTTCATTGAAACGGTAAGCACCAGGTTTATAATTGTTTCAAGTTCTTTTTTGATTGCCTGTGTCTGATTGCAATTACATTAGGTTTCAAAGTAAATCATACCATGATATTGGGCTATTTATCGTCCTGTATTGGGCGTGTTTCTGACACCGTGAAGTATCTCACTAACTTATGTCTAATCTGAAAAACACCAATCTGAATCAGATGTCTATTAAACCAATATCAGTACTCCATATCCCAATCTGTTTTATATTTTGAAAATATTCGGTTTTCATGAAAAATGTAATTAAGTTATTTTACTTACAGAGAAGAGGTTCTTTCCCATCTTAAAAATATCATTCATATCTTAACGTGACAGGCAATAGAGTTTTTATCTATATTTTCTTTCTGGAACTGCAGAAGAACTTCTGAATCAAGGTTATGCGTGAAAAAGCTGGCAGATTCTCCTTGTCCACATCACTAAAACATAGGAAATCCTTTCCACTATTCATTGTCCATAAATTAGATCAAGGTCATGTAAACTAATATTCTGCCTACCTTACTTTTAGATTTGTTTAAATGTAGTGTTGAAATGAATATTGAACAACTGAAAATGGTCAATTCGTTAACGCATATTTATATATTTTTACATACCATCATTTAATTAATTTTTCTGTTCATTGCATGTCTAAATTTAGATGCATAACTAAATAACTGAATATTATAAAATACTTTTTATAATTTCCAAATTTAGGGTTACTGATTTAGTTATTCCACATAGAAAATAGGTACTAAAACATTGGTTCATTGATGATATTTCCTATGATAAATCTAAAAATCAACTTACTAGCTGGTCAATGGATTCCCTCAAAGTTTCAACGGGACTTCGTGAAGTGTGAGATCAACTAGGTGGATAGTGGGTATGAAAGGTATTCTGAAGCTGATTCTAATCAATATTCACTAAAGCAATGAAAATATGTGAAAATTAGTAAGTATAGCTTACTGCTAGTTATAAAGTACAGCTATGAGGCTTTTAGTATTATTTTTCCAGTGATTACCCTACAGTTATGAGCATCGTCAGTGTATTTGTATGAACTTGAGTCCAGTTGGCTATCTATCATTTTAAAGAGACCCAATTACGTTGGTTACACCACCGTGTAGATCCATTACTGGCTTTTAGTAAAAGTTATCTTATCAAAGAAAATAACAGGCGATTATTTGCTCACCTCAAAATGCGCTCATTAGCATTAACGTACAATTAGGTAGAATCACGTAGAATTATTTTGAACGATACACTTCACGTGTACAAAGTGCGAGTTGAGTAGTTTGAGTAGTCTGTGGTTATATAGCAAAATATTGATCATAACATGCACAAACTGGCAAGTATATTCAATGAAAGCTCATAACTTGTCAACATTTGTAAGCCTCAGGAATGAACTTTCTTCAGAACGAATTATTACAATAATTTACTGCGATTCCATTGAAACGTGATTATAGTTATGATTAATTAGTGTATGTAAAGTTATAAATTTGCAACAATATTCATGAAATATGCAAAACTAGACTCAAGGTCGTTTCGATAAAGTGACAAGTGAGATTACTGATCAGTTTTCGATTCGGAGTGAGAATAGGAATAACTTACTTTAAGCACTTGGTGTCACTGAACTCAATACTCAGTATTTCATAATTATAGACTATTGGTGAGAATATTTACTTGATTAAGGACTCTTGTATTTTGCTACTCATCACTAGATCTGTCTGCAATTTCGAAATAACTAACTCCGAGATTTTAACTCTCAGCAATTATAGAGGTTTGGTTTAGATTTTTGTAGGACTCGACACCAGTTAGAGAACTACTAAAAACCTGAGAGAACTGGACAGTTTATTCATACTAGTATGGTATTCACCTTCAATGTATACTCATAACCTCACCAGAGACCGAAATCAGGACCTTCAGGCTATCTGTAAAGCATGTTACTATTCAGCAAGTGAGATGTAAAGCAGAATTTTGAGGATGAAAACCGCTGGATTCCGATCCCAGGTTCTCAATTGTCCCCAGCTTATGTCGCCCCTTGATGAGTACCAACCTAGACGTAGAGAAGTTAACGCTAAACTAGTGAAATGGTTACGGTATTAAGTACGATAATCAATCATTATGGATAAAGCAAAGTGAGTTTCTTTATTCTTTAATAGAGATGTGACTTGATGCATCGAACTATATAACTTTAACGACTTTCACGTTCAAGATAGAGTTTACTGATATTAGCCTAAGCAACTAAACTCTGTAATCAGCTGTCACATATCAGGTGTGGGTTATTAGTCCTAACCAATAATGAAATTCTCTAGATGAAGCCTGGATTATAGTCATTTTAGTAAGTGGCTCAACATTATGACATGCTGTATTGAATGTCAGATAAAAGGGAATATATATTCGATAGGTTGTTGTACTTTCACTAAGAAGACGACAACAAGGCATTCGAAGACATTTAATAAAACAAAATTAAATTTTTAACCGTAGTATTTTTGTGAAACATATTTTCTTTTTAAGTAATCAAGTCGTTTACTTTAACATATTCTTGAAATGTAGTTCAACCGATAGCCTACAGATTATCAACTGAGTGGTCTATCATCTAACTAACTGGTAGAATGAATTCCTCATCGGTTCAACTATGGATTATTTTTTAAGATTGTTGTGTGAATGATAGACCCCGACCTGATTAAGTTGCATCAGATTGATGGTGGTTTAGTGTTCTCTTATATATAATAATTTTCGTGGACATTTTATCGTGTCATTAGGTTTGATGACATCTTCAGTGCTTACTTCATAAATATCAAAGCTCGGAAAACATCAAACAACCATCATCATCATCATGAGATACAAATCTTTTCCATGAAATGTCTCATATTATCGGTCCAGATGTTTCTTCCACCCTTTTATAGATAAACATGATTAAGTGACCAGTAACAAATAGTTTGACTGAAATTGTAGTAAGAGGCGTAAATTCAATGGGGAATCTACGACTACTACTACTACTACTACTACTACTACTACTACTACTACTACTACTACTACTACTACTACTACTACTACTAACGTAATGATAACAATGATGACAACCAACCACTGACTTTCGGTCTTGTTTCTGAATACCCATTCATTCTAAAGAACCAAAAGTTATTTGACACTTAAGTGGGAGGAAAAATAGTTGGTTTCTTTACTTTATTACCAGCTGGTGCAGATCTATTATTATTATTATTAGTCCCTTGGGTTCCTAGTGGAACATAGGCTTCAGTAGCACGTCTCCATTTCATCCTGTTCTCTGAGATCTTTTGAACCTGGTCCCACGACAGCCCAGAAGCTCTCATTTCCTGCTCGCACGACCTCCTCCATGTCACCCTCACCTCGGACGTCCAACTCGTCGCTTCCCATGGGGATTCCACTCGAGGGCCTGACGCGTGATGTCCTCAGTCGGCCTTCTCAGTGCATGGCCAATCCATCTCCACTTCTTCCTGCATATTTGTTGCGTGATAGGTTCTTGGTTGGTTCGTTCTCAGAGTTCCTTGTTGCTTATTTTTTCTGGCCTTCTGATCTTCAGCAGCGAGCGTAAGCAGTTGTTGATGAATGTCTGTAGTTTATTGGAAATCCCTTTCGTGACGCGCCAAGTCTCTGAGCCATACAAGAGCACTGACTTGACGTTGGTGTTGAAAATCCGTATCTTGTTCCGCATGCTGAGTGCAGAAGATCTCCACACTGGTTTCAGGCTAATGAACGCCTGTCTTGCTTTTCCGATTCTGACTTTGACGTCCTCGTCCGTCCCGCCTGTAGTTGAAACAGTGCATCCTAGATAAGTGAAGGAGGTTACGGTGCAGATCTATGCCTGAGCATTATTGTTGGTCTTACTGTTATAAGGCATTACTGAAAATTCATTGAGTAGTCAAATCTAGTGATTGACAGATTCTTTTAACCTAGTTGTTTGTTTGTTGGTAGCAATTATTTCACATCTGTTCTCCAGTTGGGTAGTTTTATTAATTGTCTACTATCCTAATATATCTTTAGCCTAATTTGGGGTTATAATTACAAAATCACGTCACAGTATAATTCGTTTAAAGGAGAGATAAACAGTTTGTTTTTGCTTATAATTTATTTACTTGGTGATGGCCAGTGGTGAGATCCAGAATATAAGTTTCACTACACGTTGGACTCATCAGCTGGGTATAACTTCATCCTTTTGGGTGACAGTGTTTCTTTAAAAGTCGAATTCAGCACCTCGCTTCAAACTTTGCAGTCTTATTCACTAGGCTACTGATGGACCAGAGCCAATTCTTTTCCATCAGATATAAATTCCTCTGCATTGATCAATACTTAAAGTTTTCTGTTAATTATTATGCTAGACTGCATTGATCAGCCACTATTTTTCAATGGGCTCATAGAATGGTTGTCTTGATATTTCAGATAATATGATGGTGCCCGTTAATCTCTACAGATTCGTTAATTTTCTTATTTATATAGATTCAGCGTAATGTTCATACGCTTACCCAAGAGCGCGATCAAATTAACAAGCTGTACAACGATGTGAGTTTCGATAATTTTGTCCAATGGATTATCAGTAACAGAAGTTCTTGTTGTTATTTTTTGCCGTGGCAAGAATTAAACAGTTTACACAGAGGGGCAGGTGTAAATATGTAACGGAAACTGACACATCTCATTATCAACTTTTGTTGTTATGTGTCAACTTTTCTAACTTTTATAAGGGATAAGAGATAAACTTAAGGCTGTAAGTAAAAAAAGCCTTCTCGACTGATTTCATATTTATACTTATGATATAACAGAATACCAAATTTAAATAAAGCGAGAACAACAGCTTTGACAGGATGACATGGTTCCATTTTATTTCGCAGTTTCTCATCAGCTGCTTCCAACCCAAACCAGTTTTAATATCAGTTGACATAAATGACTGCATATACTTGAATCAACTTGACAGAAGAATGTCCGCTTGAAATAAAGATAACATCGGTATGACTTAATTGAAAACACAAGAACTTATTGAATGAACATCAAGAACTAATGATAATTTTGCCAATATTATAGCAGGATTAGAGGAAAATGCTGAAACGGAAGTTTGACAAGAAGGGGAAACAAATTTTTCAAATAAAAATCAGCTTTCGAATTTATCGGTCATTAGCACATAAGTTTGTGAGCTTCAAAACCTTAGTTCACGTGGTTATGTGGTTAGGACGACATGGGACTTTAAAGTTGACTCTAAAAGCCATTAAATTGGCAAATAAAGTTTCCAAACCGGCTAAAATGTGGTTTTCTCTCAAAACAAATAAACCTAATTGGTTATTTCAGTGATTGTTAGCATAACCTTCACAGTCTTTTCGGTGTGATCTTGTTAAGTCGCTTTCTTCACTGTACAAATCAGGAGGAATAAGTCAATTTACATGGAAATTACCTATTTAAATCATGTGATTCACTAAGTGAATACCATTTTTACAGTTACAGACCAATCATTGTTTTGATATTGTCGTTGCTCAGTGACAAACAAACGTTCCAAGGGAAGATAATCTTTGTTGGTAAACACTTTGAGTATCTCAATGTATTCAGTATCGGTATTTATGCGGCAATCTGTTAGGACACTTCATAAAATCTTTTGTCCCTAAACTGGCTACCGAAATAGTTTGTAGATATATCCCTTCTCATAGACTTAATAAGAGGATAAAACAAGCGATCAAAACACCATCTGATCTAGAATAGTTATCTGACTGATATTAACCTAATGACCCTAATTAAATTGATTCCTAACAGACTAATTAGACAGATATATAAGCGCAGAAGTTCTCAATTAGCATATCGATTCAAGTCATACGTAGAAACCAAATAAAAAGGGGGAATACAAATACAAAAACAAATAAGAGGATCTGGATAAATTCGGAAAGTAAGTAAGAAATAATATGACATTCACTATTTCTAAAACGAATCATAAGAAATGAGTGTGTGAAGCTATAATCTTTTCCGGGCCATTTCATTCAGAGTCGCCAGCGATTGATTACTAGTATCCTAAGAACACTCACCAGGTAGCTTAGACATATACTAATAGTCGTTAACTTTGCGCCTGGATGTCAAATCTTGGTTTTGTTACCTTTACGTAACTTTCTTTGAATCTTATTCTACTCGAGCTAGTATCACAGGTAGAATACGCAGTGAATCAGTATGCGTGATGTATGCGTTCGAAGGGATTGACTCACCCTATTGGTCAACTTACATTCCTTGCTCAAAACTCTACACTTAGTCTTATTCCACCACAAGCAAACAAGTCTACAAGGATACTAATGATAGTGGAACCTAGAATTACCGGATTTTGTATGTCTCGCTACGCAAACGCAAACGAAAAATAGTCATATAAAAGAGATTCATTAGGATATACATTCATCATAACTTATGAATATTCACATATTTTATAAATAGTAGCAGTTATTAATAATGATTTTCTAAAATAACTCCAGTCACGATGTGAAATACACCGATTACATCAAGATCTGTATGCAATGCATGAAACTGGTGATCGAAACACTCAAACTACCCAAACTGTCCTACGTCGAGTTGAAGCGGAACGTGATCGAGCTTTAGTAGACTTATCAAGAGTAACTGCTGAACGGGACAGTTTAATTACCAAGTATAAAGTAAGTTTCAGATTGAAATGTCGTATGAAATTTTGCTTCATAGGAGTGATAATTACAGTTACATGCCCCATTACATTGAGCAGAATTGATTTATGATTACTGATTGTTTGGCTGTATTATTCTGCACAGTGTTTTTTTTAATCGTCAATGCATACATTTGAACACCTCAGCATTCAAGCACGTGTATTTACTTATACTGTTGTACGCACATTCACGTATATAAATGCATGCACTTACTACAGCACCTTGATTTACGTGTTATTCTCAAGTCTGTTTATCTGGTGTTCATTACTTGATTCTTTGTTGAACCTGGAGTGATCAAATATGGTGCTGAAAATCGTTTACAAAACATCCAATATACATTTTTATGCTATTAAATGTGTTCAAGGTTTGAAAAACTTACAGCTTTTGTTTTGTTTAAACTAATACCAGAAGATAAATTTTTAAAAAATAAATGGAATGTATATTTAAATTTGACCGAATACATTTTGTAACAAGGAAATTGGTTGAACATGATGAAATCTACATAAGGTCATAGTTGTTTGGGCGTTTTCCTGTCGAACAAATTTGATATTTCTTTTCAGAATTCTACAGAAACTGCACATTCGGATAAATTACGCTTAACTAATCAATTGGATCATTTAGAAAATAGTTTAAATCAAGTAGCTGAAGAACGTGATGAAGTACTTCGTCGTGTGTCCATGCTACGACTACGTATTGATGAGTTGCAACAACGTCAGCAACAACTGGAAGAGAGTTTAGCTGAACGACAGGAATTACTTAAAGTGAGTTTGAGGTTGAATTTCCCTTCAGTTGGTTTCATTACGACCTGAAGTTTAGGAACAGAGTTTTTAAATTGTATTTTACTATCGATTATAGGAAAACATTAAAGCTAATTGACCATTTATTATCATTACTATTATTATTTATCCCTTGGGATCCTAGTCAAACATACGGCTTCCGTAGCACGTCTCCATTACACTCTGTTCTCTACAATCCTTCCAACCTGGCTCCACCAATCCCCACATACTCTCATTTCTTCCTCACACAATCTCCTCCATGTCACCCTCGACACCGATGCCCAACTCGCCGCTTCCCATCTGGGTTCCACTCGACGGCCTGTCACCGGATGTCCCCAATCGGCCTTCTCAGTGTATGCCCAATCCAACCCATCTCCACTTCCTGCCAATGCATATTTGTTGAGTGATAGGTTCTTGGTTGGTTCGTTGCCAGCTAGCCAGCCAGCCAGAGTTCCTTGTTGCTTATTCTTATTATCCTGGCCATCTGATCTTCAGTAACGAGCCAATCTAGGCACTTGTTCATGAATGTCTCTAGTTTCTTGGAAATCCCCTTCGTAACGCACCAAGTTTATGAACCATATAGGAACACTGACTTCATGTTGGTGGTGAAAATCTGGATGTTGCTCACGCTTTATGCTGAGTGTGGAAGATCTATACACTGGTTTCAGGTTAATGAACGCCTGTCTTGCTGTCTTTCTGATCCTGGCTTTGACGTCGTCGTCTTAGCCGCTACCTGTAGTTGAAACGATGTTGCCTAGATGGGTGAAAGAGACTACTTTCTGGAAGTTTCTCTCGTTGATGTTGATTGGTGCCTCTTGTTGTTGTTGGTTGAGTATTTATTAACTTTACTAGATTTTAATGAAAACCATTATCTTCTATGATACCTAAAGGTATAATTAGGTAGTTGGTGTTAAAGATATCAACCGCTGATGTGAAGTCTAGAGATTCACTAGTTAAATAATCACATCAGCGGTTTAGGTGTACCAGTATGACCACCAGGTAAGCTTGTAAACTTGTGGAAGCAATGGTCCATAAATCTTCGGAAGTTTTACAATCTGATGTCGACATGAAGTAAAAATTAACTTTGATTCAATTTCAGCCATAAATGTAATTACCAAGAAATTCTAACATTTTCAATGGAGTTTATTTGGTGACTGGCAGTGGAATCTGTGACACGCGTTTCTTCCTGTCTGGGACTCGTCAGCTAGATTTATCTGCACCCCAGTGAGTGGCAGCATTCCCACTAAGACTTAAACCCAGTGTCCACCACTTCGAACTCCAAAGCATTATCTACTAGGCCACTAGCACTGGAGAGCCACTACTTTTGCAACCAGTATCAGTTGTTGTTTATTGATACTTGTAATTTCCCGTTGCTATACTGGGTCGGATTGGTCAATCTTTGTTGGTAGATGAGCTCCTATGGGGAGACCTTGATACTGTCTTCATATTCATTATACTACAGTTTAGTCTCAATAAGAACAACATCACTCACTGGGGTGCAGACACATCCAGCCGATGAGTCCCACATGGGACGAAACGCTCATCCTTGGTTCCCTTGTTAGCCACTAAGTGGACCACAATATAATGAATATCCAGGCAGTATTGAGGCGTCCATATAGTAATCCATATGCCGACAAAGACCAAGGAATGCGATTCAGTATACCAACGGAAAATTACAAGTGTCAATAAATAACAAACATTCGCATGCTAATTACAACCCAACCCAACATTTTCTGGAGACTTTTACTTTTGTTTATTATCAGCATTAGTTTAAGCGGATGGTTCCTAAATCTTAAGTGGACTTAAGAAAAGTCAACAACAGAAACATTAAGCTTTTTAACCAATGAATGTCGTAGGTTAGTATGTTTAGATAAAAAGATAAAGAACAGATTACAAACAAATTCAAATGATCTCATGCTGAAAGAGAAACGAATTAGAAAAATCACTTAAACTTATGAGGGAATTATTAACTTCCCCGCAACCGAAGGCTTAAATGCTCTAGATACACTCTGGTCATTGGTTTACACCACTGAAGATTCCTTTTTTAGTATCTTCTTACTCCAATTGTTTAGTGATTTGAGATTATTTTGTGATGAGAACTACGTTTCATTTTGACTTAATGCTTCTCAACATATCCTCCACTAGAGACCATTTTACAAATTTCTAACCAACACTGATTTCAGACACTATCTAATGTGGAGTTCATCGATCTCAAGTCAACACTGGACATAGATAGACTTTATATCCATCTTTTATTGCTGGAGAGGGTCGTTGGCAGATTGTCATTACTTCTGGAGTATGTGCTTGAACAGTGTTCACACTTTGATTCCAGTACATCCGTGTCCGCCTAAGAAAAGGTAGGAATGATATAACCCTGTGAATTTCCCAAGCCCAGTTTAGTGATAAGGATGCTACGGCTGCTTGTAAACAGATCTTGACTAGAATGTTATCAGAACATGACAATTTTACTCATCATGAATGATCCTAGCGCCACCTACAGTCTCTTTTAGAAACAGAAATACAGACCATTAGTGACAGTCTGATAGAGCTTGAAAAGTATTAGCGGATAGGCAGTAGCAGATAGTTATTCATACTTAAGCAGCGAACTAAGTTAAAAAGGACTGATTAGACATCGGGTGAAGAACAAACATTTTCTTATAAACACATAGCTAACACCCCTATCAAACTAATAGGATTTTGAATTCTCAATAGCCGTATGGATAAGTGAAGCTCGAGGATAACAAACCCGTGAAAATCAGAAAACTATTAGACCTGGATGTGAGTGTAGCTATCAGATTTTCACCCTATATCAGATCTTAAAAAACAGACACACTTATTGATAGCCGGAATCACCCATACTTTGCTTGAAGGTTTCATCTGAATCCATAGATCAAGAGGTTTTCTGGTGATCTATTACTAGAACCAGTGATGAGTCAGTATACCACTCCAAAAAGTCTCTATATTTGAGCTTCTGCAGTGGTGATAGAGCTTATGTTCAGGTATCAGATGAGTTGCATACATTCAGTGGTATCAGTCAAGGGTATCTAACCCCTCCTTTTTTATTTAAATTTGTCAAAGACATGTTTATGAAAGCCTTGTTCAGTCTATATGGTTTTATAAGGAGTAATCTTGTCATAGTAAACTGATTTGTGAAGGTAGGACAGAAAGCCATTTTAGTCATTTTTAGTGAAGTTAATAAAAAATGCGGAGTCTTGTGGATACTCCAAGTGATAAGCTGGGGATTTTCAGGGTGCGTTTCACACCACCCAGATGCAAACTCTTAATTCTGGAATAATCTGTTTCAGCATCTTGGCTGATTCTAGAGCGTGAAATGGTCTAGAACGTCGACCTCTTTACTTAGGACGTTCGATAGGTCATGATGGGCCAGTTTTATAAGAAATTCTCGTTACGGATATAAAAACCTTGATTGAGTTTCGCTAAATGACACCATTTATGGTACCGGTCAAGTGTTGTGTGAAGTATTTTGCCTTGGTCAACCATGTACCTATTAAATAACGGTACTAAAGGTGGAGAACATGAGAAGGTTCCAGGTAACCGTCGTAGGATTGTATATATGTAATGTAGGTCAGTCAGGTTGTAAAACCACATCCACTTAGGTGGCTGGTACATATGTTACGCCCACCTAGTCAGTATTAACCACATTATGAGATGTTAGCTAGTGTTTTTAAGCTGAAGAATGGTAAGAGGCGTTAAGAATAAAAACGACGTCAGTCTATCAAGTCTTTAACTGTAAGAGTGAGTCGCGAACGCAACAGCATACTTCTCGATTAGGGTTCACGTATCAGACACAATCTACAGTTTAAAGCTCTATGTAATATGGCTCAGAATGGATCTCACTGGTGCAAATGCATCCGCAAATTATCTTCATCCTAATCATTGTACCATATTTTAGTGCTCCATTGTTTTCCATTGTTATGCCTTTTCAAAGATTTTAATTATATTTTCCGCATTTACCCATCCCTTATCGAGCCGCCATGTATCTTATTGTGCTGATATAACATGAACCGTTACTAGGTAATGCGAGGTCCTTCGTTGATATTAAGTGACTAAGTGACTGACTTTTTCAAATAAATACAAGTTAAACTATGGTGCTGTGGCAGACTGTAATTCAACTATATTTGGTTTCTGAGATGCACCACACAGTGAGACTGTAATATTTACTGAAAAATACTATTTCACTGTGTGATGCACTCAAAAAACAAGTTATAACGGAAATTTCAACATAAAAGTAATTGTTAGCAAGTAACTGTATGCATCATCTTTCCCATTCTACAGTTACATCAGTAATGATGCATACAGTAATCCTTAATCATTCCACTGAAGTCATCTTCCTGTCTGTTTGCTCTGTACTTACATATTCAGAAGGTAAATGAAGAATCAGCCCAACTGAAACAAGAAGCTGAAGTACAAAATAATCGTTTAGAAGAACGTGAATTACAAATATCTCAAATGAATGAAAGGACACGTGTTATGGAGACAGACTGTAGGAGAATGCATGAACGTTTCGAAGAGGTTGAAATGAAGTTACGCAAAGAAAGGGAAGAATGTTCACGTCTACGTAATCAACTTCAGAGTATTGAAGAAGAGAAAGTTAAACTCCAGGTAATTTGATTCAATAAATTAATTTTTTGATGAAATCTAAGAGTAGAAACCCAAAGCAGTGAAAACAAAAAAACACGCTGAAAACCATATCAACTGCAGAAATTTAAACAAGGAATTAAACTGTATGAATTGCATTTTAGAGTGTTAGTAAATAGCTAAACAGGATAGTATTCAGAAGTGTATTTCATGGAGTAACGGCAACAACAACGCTATCTCTCAGCAATCATCTGCATTTATCAGGAATTTAGTTGTGTCTGCCATCTAAGGGTTTCTGATATACCTGTTTGTCTGAACCTCATTGAATGGAGATGAGGTAGAACTCGGGATTGTCTGTTTGAATATTGGTCAAAACCAATGAACGACAGATTAACTTCCACTTAAGGTATAGCTATTTTGCGGGAGTATTGGTAGAGAGAATTTCGATGAAATTATTCTTTTTAAATTATTTAAAGAGGTAAACACCTGGTAGGTTGACCACTGACATGGTGACTTATTGTTAGGGAATAAAATTTATTCTCCTGAAAATACCACATCTGAATGCATAGCTGTCTATGATCGAGCGGGATGCGTTGTGTATTGTCTACTCGCTTCATCTACGATATGATTAGTTTTGCACGATTATTTAAGCCTCCGCTGGTTTGGACTGATACTCCTTATCTCTATGACTTTGCTACCAAATGATGACCAACTTGTGTACTTAATGTAGTCATATAATGTGATTAGGTACTTGGTATTTTCTGATTTTTGTACTAGATAGCACATTTTAGAATTCCTGATGGAAGACATGTTTGGTGAAGGTTCAGGATGCATTCTATTGATGATTACCAATAAGTATGAAGCCGAAATAAAACAGGTCTCCTCTCTGATTGCCTCTTAGCATGGAACACAAAACAAGGCGAATCATAGGGATTCGGCAATTATCTTGTTAGTCGCATCGCCAATTCGGCACAGAGATTTGAGGCTTTATAACAGCTGGTCTCAGATGAAGCTGATTAAGAAATGACTAACACGATTTATTTCTCTCCAGACTGGATCCGGATGAGCCCATTAGCAAGAACGGGATTGTTTTCTAAATTCTTCACTGGTGAAAATTTTGTTATTTAAATACACCGTATGATAAAAGCAAACTGAAAATCCATGATCTTGAAGTATCAACAAAAATGCACCGTACTAGATAAATCTCTCCTACTTTACCTAGGTGGATCCTCAGTTTGTAGCTTTGACTTATATAGCTTGAAAATAACTAGAAAACGTACGATATACCAACTGGTCCTTAGGCTAAAGCTAATTCAAGACTATTTTTGCATTGTTATAGAAAATATCTTTCTTGCTTGACTAATCTCCTAATCGCAAAAGAACACACACATTTCAGTGTTATACGGGTGATGTTCCAAAATACGGTTCATTCACGTCAATATGCCAATTAAATAGCATAGGAATGCTGTTTTATATTCATTCCTATGGCATCTAAGGAATTTACGCCTAGGTTCTTTCACGTTTCTTCATTTCAATGTCGCATTTATTCCATCAAAATTATTTGGCTACTTAAACTTAAATTTAAGTAGTCAAACTATTTTTGCTTCAATAGTAAAACGAATTATTTTTTAAAACATTAGAATTTCACGCATTCAGTATATTCAGTAATAACGTTTTGCTCATACATCCATGAAACTACCTTCAAATGAATTATTATTTTTCAGTGTGACCTAGAGAATTTGACGTGTGAACGTAGTGACTTGATTAAGCATCAACGTCAAGTTGAAAAACGATCACAAATAAATTTATCTGAACGTGATCGACTGTCAAGACAAGTAAATGATTTAAATGACATAAAAGAAAATCTTGAAAAACAACTAAGGCAATTAGAGAAAGACTTTTCCGATCAAACTACTAAATATCAGGTAAGTATTGTGATTTTATTAGTATTATTATTTGTCCCTTGGGTTCAGTAGCACGTCTCCATTACACTCTGTTCTCTGCAATCCTTTCAACCTGGCTCCACCAATCCCCACATACTCTCATTTCTTCTCACACAATCTCCTCCATGTCACCCTCGACACCGATGCCCAACTCGCCGCTTCCCATCTGGGTTCCACTCGACGGCCTGTCACCGGATGTCCCCAATCGGCCTTCTCAGTGTATGCCCAATCCAATCCATCTCCACTTCCTGCCAATGCATATTTGTTGAGTGATAGGTTCTTGGTTGGTTCGTTGCCAGCTAGCCAGCCAGCCAGAGTTCCTTGTTGCTTATTCTTATTATCCTGGCCATCTGAGCTTCAGTAACGAGCCAATCTAGGCACTTGTTCATGAATGTCCGTAGTTTCTTGGAAATCCCCTTCGTAACGCACCAAGTTTATGAACCATATAGGAACACTGACTTCATGTTGGTGGTGAAAATCTGGATGTTGCTCACGCTTTGTGCTGAGTGTGGAAGATTTACACACTGGTTTCAGGTTAATGAACGCCTGTCTTGCTGTCTTTCTGATCCTGGCTTTGATGTCGTCGTCTTAGCCGCTACCTGTATTTGAAACGATGTTGTCTAGATATGTGAAAGAGACTACTTTCTAGAAGTTTCTCCCGTTGATGTTGATTGGTGCCTCTTGTTGTTGTTGGTGGTGATGTTGTTTGGGTATCTTCATCACCCCTGTATTCTCTACCTTCACTTGAAATCCCGTCTTCCTTGGCTGCCCTGCTCTGCCTCTTCTGTCAACTTGTTAGTTTTCGCCTGTAGATGTTCAAGTTTGTGTGTGTGACATGAGACACAAGTCATCGGTGAAATTCAAGTCTTCTAGGGACTTTTCCCCGATCATGCCAGCGTATCCTTCTTTTCTTGCTCCTCACAGTTGTCTGCTGCATGATCCAGTCGACCACAATCGGGAATATCATGTGCGATAGTGGGCAGCTTTGTTTTACTCCTGTCTTGCCTTCAAAAGCACCATTGAGCTTCCCATTTGGATTACTTGGCTGGCATGTGGCGTCTTCATATAGTTGTTGAGTGATATTGATAAAGGTTTGTGGTATTGCGTATTGTTGAAGCGGTTTCCAAATTACTTGTCGGTCGACGCTGTCAAAGGCCTTTTCAAAGTCGATGAAGTTGAGGTAAGGTAGAGAGTTGACTGCCATTCTATACTCTGTTCCATGATGATGCATAGAATGGCGTTGCAATTTTTTCCGCAAATGATTTTGTACTTCCTGAATCCAGTCTGCCTGTTCCGGTAGTAGTCTTGAATACAGTTCATCGTTGAGTCTCTCCAGTACAATGTGGCTTAATATTTCGCTTGCTCTGGGTGGACAGGAGAGTGATCCCGCGCCAGTCCCTGCAAAGGCTTAGGTCGCCCTTCTCCGGCAGTTTGACAAGGTAACCCTTACTCCAATCGCCAGGTACCTTCTCTTCCTTCCACACCTTCTGCAATAGTAGTGTGAGCATGTCCGCTGTTGTCTCTGCGTCTGCTCTCAGTGCTTCTGGAGAGATTCCATCTGGTCCTGCTGCTTTCCTACATTTCAGCAGCTTTATGGCGTTCAGGACTTCCACTTTTGTGGGAGGATTTGTGTTCACTCGTAGTTCTGCGGCTGGGTTGCTGGTGGTATTTCTGGACGAAGTGCAGGTTGTGGTGGTGGTCAATACAACAGCGTCTTGAAGTAATCGACCCATCGTTTCCTTTGTTTCTCTTCTTTGGTAATTAATTTCAGTCATCATCTTTTATTGGTTTCATCTGTGCTGATCTCTTCCCTCCCAGATAGTAACCTGGTTATTTGATACAATGTTGTCATTCCTACCAGCAGCCTGTTCTGCTTCACTTGCCAGTGCGTCGTAGAAGTGTCTTTTGCCTTTGCGTGCACTCTTCTTAACTTGTTTGTCTAGTGAATGTTTTATACATTGTACTCAGATCCTCTTGTCGTTGTACATCCTTGCAATAGTTTATCTCCTGCTTCACCATCCTCCTCTCCTCTATCAGCTTCCATGTGTCCATCGAGATCCATTCCTCATCTTCTTTCTTCTTTCTTCATAATACAGTTATGCAGGTTTCTTTCCATATCTCTTTCAAAGATTTCAATGTTCTTCCACACAGGTTTCTTCAGGGATGTTGCTCGATATCTCCCATTTTGTCTTGATGGCTGACTGACGTGAAGATGTGCTTTGTAGTTTCGTCCTTCATTTTCCGAGTGTTGTACTTGAACTGAGGTCTATTACCAGCTTCCTTGAAGGCTTTTAACTTGATTTGGAAGGTTCATTGCACTAGATGGTGAGTGGTCTGAACCTACATCTGCTCCTCTTCTTCATCTGATCTGGTGTCAAGTAGACTGACTGCGTCTCCACCTTCTTCACGCTGAGGTAAAGTCGATCTGATTTTTAGTTTAGTGTATCTCGGTATCTGATGAAATCCATGCCACACGCTTTTTGGATATCCTTCTACTTTAACACACTGCTTCCAATCACCAAATCGTTGAATGCACAGAATTCTGCAAACAATTCTCCATTCTCCTTCATCACCTCACCGAGCGCTTCTTGACCCAAGGTTTGTTCTCTCCCTGTGTTGTCTGCTCCCAGTTTGGCATTCATTTCACCCCACCCATTAGAATTTTGATGTCACCAACTGAGGTCTTGTCCAGTGTTGATTGCAATTGTCTGTAGAATTCCTCCTCCTTCTCTTCATCTGCATTATTTGTAGGTGCGTAGGGTAGCATTGTATGATTATGACCTTCCTTCCTTTTTAGTTGAATCTTGCTGCCATGATCCTGGAGGAGATTGGTTTCCACTGCATGACAGCGAGTCTTCGATGCTGTTGGGGACATCATGATAGCCACTCCAATACACAGTGTGATCGTGGTTGTCGTCTGGGTCACAATATCTGAGTAGATTATTGATTCTCCAGTTGACAGTTTGGAGAGTCCACTCCCATTCCATCTGCTTTCGCAGATGTATACATTCTGACAGCACCAAGACACCAGTTAGACTACAAAATATCAGCCGATTGTAGATAAGGGATTGACCTAAAGAAGTCTACATGTTGCTAAGAATCGATAAGATACTCCACATTACTTGACTTGAATAGGTAATTTATCTACCTTTAACCTTATACCACTGTGGGGCTCATTCTCATCACCTGAATTCATCTTTCAGTGCATTGATTTATCTCATCTATCTGATGAAGACTCCTGATTAACACAGATAGTGTTCAGCTACTCATTTTGTTCAGTGATGCATTTTCCCTTTTCTCTTTGCCTTCTTTAATTATGAACTAACGGCTTGGTACAACCAATCAATGTCTTCAACATTTAACGTGTTTGATACAGGCGTGTTTGTGTTTGATATCGTTTAGTTTACTTGTTAGACTTTTGTTCTTGAGTCTTGATTTAAATATTTTTCTGACTGAATTAGGAATGTGAAACGTCATGCGTAAACCATGTTCGTGCCGAAATTCTTAAGATTTATGCTTATTGTAAGAACAGTTATTGACAAAAAGCAAATCACTACAAAACCAGTGTTATGATTTTCGTTTCTATTGTTAGAAACAATGTTAACGGAGGACTTTATGAAAACTGGATTTAGAGAGCAAATACAGGGCGAACCAGTAGTTTGTACTTCTTTAATATATTGTTCAGCAAGGGGAGGATATAGCATATTTTGACGCCTAAAGCGACATAATATTAAATACAGGTTTATTTCCTAGTATCGATGCGTTCAGCACTGGTTCGAGATGCGTTTTTAGATCTCAGTAACATTAGTTTAAAAAACGTGTCTGTACTGTTCTATATCATAATAAAACACCAACTGGAAAGGTAATCTCGATGTTTTGGCAGGTTTTTTACTTCTTACGTCTAGGTTAACTGCAACTGACGCTAAAGCTCAACCTAACCAATAAGTCCTCTTGATTTTGTCTAGGAATGTAGTTTTTCACGGTAAGGAAAACTGATTGGCTATTTCAGTAGTTATCAGAGTGTCCTTCGGAGTCACCCGTTAATTGTACTGATGGTCTAGTTGGTTACCTGACTTCAGCACTTGAGCACAAGTAACTTACAGTAATAAACCACTGACTATTCACGGATCATACTGAGGGGAATTGAAAGACCAAACTGTAACCATACTCTCCAGCTCAAGAAACTTGTGATAACGAGAATAAAGACGGTAATGATTGATAACAATCACTTATGTACCAACATATGAACAGGTTAAGGCGGTTACGATCTGATTACCTGTAAGCGAATAGTCAGTCACGGGTACTACCAAGGTCAGAAAAAACCAGCCAATAAATATCTGTTAATCAAAGTAACTCTACTCCCTTATTCACTTCAATAACTACGTGTGAACACTACTCAAACTGAAATCTACTTCTAAAGGTCTCAGGAGTATACTTTGTCTAATTGTTAGTGCACGATGAAAAGGAGGTTGCCTTCAGATTAATAGAAACAGTAAAGAATAGTGAATATCATTCTAGCAAAGAAACTTATATGACTGTCAATGGATTTTGTGATTAAACATTAAAGAAAAATTAAAAAATCATTGGCCTGTTGTTGTTTATTCACAAAGTTAGTTTCCTGAATACAGGATGCCTACCGATATCTACAATTTGTGTAACTAGCCTTTTGAGACCCAGTATTGTATATTTAATGTTTGGCTGTTCACGTTTTTCCTTGGATAAAGGCTGTTATATGCAGTTATTAACACCGTGCAATCAAAGTTAGATGAATTTGTAGCTCAAAGTAAAATTTGTTAAGAGTATGTAAAATAGAAAATTGTTATTCTTTACAGAGTACACTAATCCAAAGGTAGTCTATCATTATAATTAAGAAAACCGAAAAATTTGTGAATTTGAAAGGAAAAAAGATCAGTTTTATGATAATTTTGTTCAGTATTATGATCGGAGATAATTTACTTGTTTCAAGATCATAATGGCATAAAGTAGCTATAATCAAGTTCATAGATTGGCTAAATTTCAAATTATAAGTTTGTCTACTTGACTACTTCATTTACCTGGTCCACATACACACAAATACCTCACTTCCTCCGTGATAACATCTCTAGTTATAATACGCACAGACAAGTGACCTCAGAGAATAACACTTACTGATGAGTGTTAGTAGGGACAAAACGCATGTTTAGGGCTACGACTAGGTTGGTGTCCATTACTTCATATTGAATCTTTAACTGTGCAGAAATAAAACTTATTTGGTGAAGTTTGTACATGTACGTTAAAGAGGTATAAACACAAAAACTGCCAAATCGAATTTGTTTATACGCGTAGTGATCAATGTTTCAAGAGAATGAATTCAGTTCAAGGTGGTTAACTAGTTAAAAACACTTTTTCAACAAATTCAATGCCCGTAAGTGTTAGTTCTCTTCATAATAAACAGGTATAAAGTTTACTAAAAATTATGTGAAATGACTTACGAAGTCTCTTTGTACTGCGTAACTCTTCAGTTACTGAGGGTGAGAAACTAAATTGTTTTTATAGGGAAACAGATTGCATTTTATTCTGGTCTTTAGAAAGATCATACACTGGATAACGTTCCAGATACAATTTACTGTCTATATTCATATGAATATGGACAATAAGTTGTTATCCAGTAAATGATACTGTTTCACTGTGTAACGTTCCTAATAAACAAACTTAAAATGGAATTACAATTTGCCACAGTGACCAAGTTTTACTCCTACTTTGATGGCGTCAAATTCCTTGGAAATATAAGGAGACAGCAATATGAAGAAAGATAAGATATCATACCAGGCTTCCTAGTTGAAGATAATTTCATGTATTATAACTTTAGTAAATGAAGGCCTTTGTTTTTTACACTTATTTGTAATGCACACTAACGACTGCGTATAACCGTATAACTCATAAGAGTCGTCAGCAAAACGTTACGTAGAAAAATCGTACTACTTACTGTTTAAAAGTAGTACATGTTGAAAAAGTTGTTTTTAAACTTAGAATATGCAAACGGTTACAAAAAGTATGTAAGCTTCCTGTCCAACATTTGTCAGCTTCCAGATACTACGATATTATCATCTTGACTATCTGAGATAGCTGTGGTTTGGCAGACTTGTACTGATACTGGGTGATGATCTAGGGTAAAGTGAAAATCTGGACCGTGGAGGGATTCGAACCAGCAGTGACCAGGTTTCCACCCCGGTGCTCTACCAACCCGGTTCAAATTTTCATTTCAACTTCAATCATCACCCAGTATCAATACGATATTACCCAGTTAATTTTTGAAGAAAGTAAATTAATATCATAATTATACTTTACTTCAAAATGATAATTTCGGTTTTGTCTTTTTTCTCAGCTTGAACGTGAAGCAAATGAAAAACTTCAACAACGTATTGATACAGCAATTCATAACAAGAATTCAACAGATAGACGGGTTAATTGGCTTGAACAGCAAGCAGATGATTTGAGATCACAAATCAATCAATTAGAACAACAATTATCAACACAAAAGGATGAAAATAAATGGATGTCAGAAACAAATGAAAAGTTAACGACCGACAATGAATCACTCAGAGTGTGTGATTCTTTTGAAGCCAATTTTAGCATGACTTGTTTTGTTTTAGACGAGATAGTTGTTTTCATGGTGCATTTCATGATAAGTTAAGGTTAATTATTTGTAGCACATCTGGCGTCAAATTAACCTCTTAAATTTCTCTGCTTCCCGTCACTTTCAATGGTTTTGAATACAATTTCTCCTACAGTACTGCAGGCCTGTAGATTCAAATCTCTTCGTGACTAGAATAATCAACTATTTCAAACATTTTAAAAGTCTTTCAACTGAAGAAGACTTTTAATTTACCCTTATAACAAGTTTGACAATCGACACTGATTCACCATTCTGAAAGTTACAAACGTTTAGTCCTGCACCAAAAATATGGATGACACATTTACTGTGTCAAAATCGGAACATATCGACAATTTCCTCACACACATAAATTCAGTAGTAGGGGCAATCTAATTCACATATGAGGTAGAAAATGAACAAGGAGAATTATCTACGTTGGATTCCAAGATAAAACGAAGGATAGACGGTGGTTTGTATACTACCGTCTACGGAAAACCGATACATTCCAACAGGTATCTAGGCTTCAAGTCATCCCATCCAATATCAGTTAAGGCAGGCTTAGTCAAATGTCTAATTAATAAAGCTAGAAAACTGACTGATCAGAGCAAAGACCTAAACAAGGAATTGAAACACGTAAAACAAGCACTAATAGTTAATAATTATCCTTCGCAGTTTATCAAGAAATTCATACGAACACATGAGAAACGAAATAATAACAATAACACGAGTGAAAATAATAACGACAACACAAGTAGAAAGGAGTTCACAGCCTCCATTTTGTTACCCTGCAAGGAAAACACATCAGAAACGCTACGTAGGATTCTCAACAAAGCTGGAACTCAGAGATAAGCTTTGTTTGCTTAAAGATCCAATAGAATTAATTGAGCAAAATACTCTAATCTACCGAATTTCATGTAATGACTATGGGGTCAAGTACACAAGTCAAACTAGGAGGTCGGGGTCATTTAGAATAGCCGGACACAGGGATTTAGTTGAATATAGAATGACAGACCTGAATAAGATCAAGAATCTAGAAAAACTCGGCCACTGCATTGCATGCAATAACACAACCACACAATAGAGTGGAACAAAGCGACTGGACTTAAGTCCAATATAATTGGGTGGAGAGAGAGATTGATTACTGAATCTTTGTTCATTGAATCAACACCTAACACATGTAACAGAAATTACACAATACCTATACCACAGATATGGAAACTTCTATTGTCAATAACAACAAACTATATGAAGTGACATAACTAGAAAAATCAAATGTCGAAAGTTGTGTGATTACAGTGATAGGATTATGTGCGAAAATTTATCCTCGAAACGTCATCAAGTAAGTAATACTATATCACTGTGTGTTATAAATCAAATGAACAAATCTAATATGTAATTAAATTGCACCACAGTGCCCAAGTTTTTTCTTGGTTGCTGAGTTATATGATACGTCCAACCTCATCCTTTTTCGCAATGTTTTTGAATTAAAACGAAGGTAACGAGAAATATCGTTGTATACTTCATTATTATTACCATGAAAAAAGTAATCGTATGGTTCTAAAGGGTATTTTCAACAGCGTAATCATTTATCACTAACATTGTTTTAAATTCGTTGCTTGAGAAGCGCTTAATAAAACGTTTCTCATGTTCTCCAAAGTTATTTAAAGGAATTTACTTAAAGAATATGGCAACCACCTGCATTTATGTTACGATGTTTATCTACAATCTTAGGAGATACCAACAGTTTTCTTGATCAGAAATGTGTTAACAACCTAGTTCCTGCATACACTGGTTTGTGGTATCAAGTAAACCACTGTAGTGGCTACGTTAATGTCATACATACTATGTCAAAATCCCAAGGTACAGTGCAATCTGATGTAACGCAAATAAACTTTTGACAGATCAGTGAAGTTAACTACATTTTATCTTACCAACTCGATTTATGTGCTAGACATCCTCTCTTACCAGTTCAATGTACAATATAGCAAGTGGATTTTATTCATTGATAAAAGTACAAAGACATTTGGGAAAGAAATAAAGTTGGTTACTCTCAACTGATCAGTCACTGTGTCTATTTGCAGTCTTACAGGAGCTCAATCACAGTCGGAATAGCTCAATGGTTACTTCTGTGACTGTAACACTGCTTGATATGGATAGCAATCTCACGTAGGACATCAGTTCCCTTAAAGGTACAGACACTGACGAGTTTCATAAGGCAGCAGCATGGCTTCATGCCACGTGCCTTTATCCAAATAAAGACTGAATACATCTATAGAAATACAATGTTCTCCTATGAGAAGGAGTTTGATCGTGTTTTTTATCGAACAACATCCAAAAGAAGTAGTATGCAAGTAAAGATTTCTTGTTCGTATTCTGTTGCGGTTTAAGTTTTTTTCCCTAGCATTTCAGTTATTACTTCTGGGAATTAATATTGGAATCAAATGACACTTGAAATTTTTGCCAGTAATAGTGTTTCCACTCAGTATTCCTTATAGTCTCTAGACAAATTTTTTTCATTCACCTCCCCCTCTGATTTTTGATACAATCACAAATATATTAGCTTAGGAAGAAGATGGATTCCATTCAATTCTTATGGTTAAGTCCCACGCTACTCTGTATGAATAATAGTAAATACAATCGACATAGTTAACAACCTTGCAAACAAACAAATCATTCAGTTTGATGCAGACAGAATTAAAAAAGATTATTACTAATTCAACCTTATGTCTTCCAATAACTACATAATGACCTAGTCGACTGTCATATCTAGTTCAGTTTGTATGTGTGTCTGATCTGAAATTCTGATCACACCTGTTACTCATTGACACTGCTGAATTGATAAGTCTGTGTTGGAATCTGCAGAATGAAACCACTTAGTGATGTAACCAAAGTGATTTGAATCCATCGCCTACCTCTTCAAAGACCAACTACCTTCAAGCAAGGGACACTATAATAAAACTTACGATAATATTGATCCATCTGTAAACTAAGTACCTGTGCTTATAGAGACCGCTCAGTTCAACTTAGTAAAAACAAACAAAGGTCAGTTAGGAGCAAACTCTGATAACACTAAAATGTTATTATCTACTAGAGACCAATGCAAATCTGTGAGAATGTTTCACATCTACTTATATCATCAATCAGTAGTATATGTCGCAGACCTTTTATATTTAGATTCTTGACAACATTGGCTATATCAAGTGAATTATGTAATATGTTTTAAGCAATCCAGTTTCTAAAAGTGACGAAGGTAAGATTTCCTGACTGGATTGCATTTTACTATTATGCTGATTTAGTTTTGATTTTCGCAAGCTCATGTTTCTCTAAATTTAATAACCTTTTTAAATTATTTTACTTGTAGTTGGTGTTGTTTTTAGTGTTGTTATTCAAAACACTTTTTTAAATGATGCACTGAGTTCAAGTATGTTTTTGAACTTCTCATCATATTTATGTTGTTCATCACCTAAAATATACTCAAAGCACAATCTATTTGCTTATCTGTGTATCACATTATAAGGTTCCAATAAGTTGTTGAATAAAACATTGGTATTTATTCATTATATATGATAGTAACCGTTATATAAAGATATCGGTTAATGATTTGTAATAACTTTTTATTTTTGAGGGCGTAATCAGTCATGAAATAAATGCTGAGTAGCTGAGAACGCTTTGAATTGTACTTCCAGGTAATCAATAATGGTAGTGGGGTGTTCTCTCAGTTCTGATATTTTGTCATAGATATTTTATCTCCAGGTTTCGTCACATCTTCAACACTAACCTCATAAAGAAGAGGCATCAATAGGAGCATAAACAGTTTGACAGTTAAAGAAATATTTCAGTGTATAAAGTGTTAAGTGCCTATTCATAATGAATTCAAAATTAAGCCGATATCGCTATTCAGTGCATCATGATCATGTAACTAACTTCAGTTTATAGCAAATATTGTCACAATATGGGTTATATCTTCACAAACGATTCACCTAGAAAATATTTGCACAAAAGAAAGCCGATTTTCTTGATTATTGTTTCCTTTACAAGATGTTTTCCTCGTTGATCTTGTTTGACTGAGCACTGAAAAACATATTTAATGAATTTGCATATTATTATAATATCATTTGTCCCTTGGGTTCCTAATGGAACATAGGGCTTCAGTTGCACGTCTCCATTACACTCTGTTCTCTGCAATCCTTTCAACCTGGCTCCACCAATCCCCACATACTCTCATTTCTTCCTCACACAATCTCCTCCATGTCACCCTCGACACCGATGCCCAACTCGTCGCTTCCCATCTGGGTTCCACTCGACGGCCTGTCACCGGATGTCCCCAATCGGCCTTCTCAGTGTATGCCCAATCTAATCCATCTCCACTCCCTGCCACTGCATATTTGTTGAGTGATAGGTTCTTGGTTGGTTCGTTGGCAGCTAGCCAGCCAGCCAGAGTTCCTTGTTGCTTATTCTTATTATCCTGGCCATCTGAGCTTCAGTAACGAGCCAATCTAGGCACTTGTTCATGAATGTCTGTAGTTCCTTGGAAATCCCCTTCGTAACGCACCAAGTTTATGAACCATATAGGAACACTGACTTCATGTTGGTGGTGAAAATCTGGATGTTGCTCACGCTTTGTGCTGAGTGTGGAAGATTTACACACTGGTTTCAGGTTAATGAACGCCTGTCTTGCTGTCTTTCTGATCCTGGCTTTGATGTCGTCGTCTTAGCCGCTACCTGTATTTGAAACGATGTTGTCTAGATATGTGAAAGAGACTACTTTCTAGAAGTTTCTCCCGTTGATGTTGATTGGTGCCTCTTGTTGTTGTTGGTGGTGATGTTGTTTGGGTATCTTCATCACCCCTGTATTCTCTACCTTCACTTGAAATCCCGTCTTCCTTGGCTGCCCTGCTCTGCCTCTTCTGTCAACTTGTTAGTTTTCGCCTGTAGATGTTCAAGTTTGT